GAGTCTCCAAATGGTTTGATAGTTGCAGAGAAAAGCTTGGTGAAACAAGACTCAATGTGCTGGAGAGATCTGGCAGCAGCAATAGAGAGAAACAATGTTTTGAGTTCATTGACTCTTTGTCAGAACCAGTCACTTGACTCAATGTTAACTCCCACCTGCATCATTTTGAGAGTGATCACAAGTCTGTGATTCCGTATTCCATTAAAAGGGAGTTAAGCATACGTTGTATAATGTGGGACTACCGACATGGGCAGTTCCTTCCCTCAGATATATTAATCAATAGTTCTTGGTTTTAATGGCAGTTGGAAGCTTCCTGGTCATTTTTCTGATTACCAGATCAAATGCAAATTACTGAATTTAGTTGTTTAATACATTCATCCACAAGCAGAGGCTATTGCTGATGAGGCCATTACTTATTGTTGATCTTTCAACCTTTAACTGAGCAGTTTTCAAGATCACTTTCGGAGGCAGATCAAAAAATTCACCATATTATTTTCGGTTTGACCAGTTCATAAGGTAGACCAGTTATTTAAAGATGTTAATTAACAGGATTGACCGTGGCTTATTTACTGGCATACCCACCCGGCTGTGGTTTTCTGATATGAACTTTTTATTATCATTGGCTTTTAGGACCTGGGTGCTGCTGGGAAAGTGATGCTTGAGAAAGTGCTGGTGAGCTGCTGGCTTGAACTGCTGCTGGCTTGAACTGCTGCAGTCCATTTGGTGTAGGTAAACCCACAATGCCTTTAGAGAGGGACTTCCAGGATTATGACCTGGTTGTACCCAAGTGTTAGTTCTGTGGAGTTAGATCATTAAACCTGTGCCCTGAGATGCTAGTCCTTTGAAATATACCACTCTGCCAATATCTCCCCTGTTTATTCACATGTTCACACCATGGCAACTTATTGCCATGAGCTTTGGTTAAATAAATAATAGAATTGGAGACATGGAAAAAATAATGAAGAGGACACTACCATAAAAGATGGACCATACCTCCATGGGATTAGTTTCTCTATTTTTAGGAGAGCTACATTTTTGCATTCATTGGCATTTGTAGATATGGCTGAAACCCCTAATAATTTGCAGTCTGAAAATATTTTGGGATGAGGTGCTACTCATTGACTGAAAGGTTCTGGTCCCCACTGAGCCTGGTGTTTGCTTGAGCTGCGATGCCAATTATGTTGTGCCTTGGATGTGAAGCCACTTTGGGAGTAGATAACCAAATAGTTTTCGAGCATGGGGAAGTGAGCAGGAATCCAGCCGCAGACTTGTCTGAAGATTATGGAGAATGAAGGCTGAGAGTCTGGCTGTTGGAAATAGCTCTTTCAGGTAATCGTGAAGTCAGGCTGAACATTATCAACAGGAGAGGTGATGGCCTAGTGGTATTATTGCTGGACTGTTAATCCAGAGACCCAAGTAATGGTTTAGGAATCTTTGGAATGCTGCCATGGCAAACGGTGGAAATTAAATTCAGTAATTTGTATATGAATTGGAATGGTTTAGATCGATATGGGCCAAATGCTGGCAAATGGGACTAGATTAATTTCGGATATCTGGTTAGCACGGATGAGTTGGTCTATAAGGGTCTGTTTCTATGCAGTACATATCTATGATTCATCCTACAACTGTAAGCTCCACTGTTGTCTTCAGAACTCCTATCCATTATACTATAACCATTATTCAAAGCATTTTCTTTATCTTAACCAACTCATTTGCAAACCAAGTTTTCTTTTTTTTTGCATTCTGCTTCCCTTCCATGTTGTGTGGAGAACGCTTTTTGTTGTTTGGAACTGCATAAAATTGGAAATGTTGTATTTCTTTTTGCTGTGGTAGTTGGCATTTTTTATTCTTTGGCTTTGGAATTGCAATGCATGGGATGGTGATATAAGCTTGCTATTTTTATGTTGGCCTGGATGCAATGTCTGCAGAATTCTTTATTTTACCTATGGTATGTTCTTGAGCATAATATGCTCTACACTAATATTCTTTTAACAAAATAATGCTATATTTCCTTGAAATTATTCCTCCAAGTTAAGGAAGGCTTGGGGATATCATGCTGGGTTCATGGTAATGGCAGGTCCTCAGGTTGACCATTGCTTTCAGACATGACCTTTTTCTATATTAAATATTTATTTGGCAATTTGGTTCAGTTTTTTAAAATGAAAACCCTGTAGGTGTTTAGTAATCTTCTTTGTGTTCAAGTTCGGTCTCTTTATTTCATAGAAGCCGTAACCAGTGTAGGCAGTGCCTAACTTCTAATGGTCATTATTTCACCTGATTGTGTTAACTGCTGACATTGAAATTGCCAATGTAAACTGAATATGCAGTTGCCTGTATCAATGTGTTTGTTCTCGCTTGGCAAGTATATACTGTTATGGAATCAGTGGTTGCACTAACTAATACAGAACATGAAGACCATTTATACAGTTTGAAGAAAAGTTCGTTTATCACCTTGACTTGAGCTGGTTATCCATCAAGGATTACTTTTCCACCTGAAGGCTGTAATTTTAAGTTAACAAGTGACTGTACTGTTCCAATTAATCTCTTTTCAGGATTATTATAAAATCATCAAGAATCCTATGGATATGGGAACAATTAAAAAGCGCTTAGAAAACAATTACTACTTGAACGCCCAAGAATGTATTCAGGACTTCAATACCATGTTTACCAACTGTTACATTTACAATAAGGTAAGATCTTTACATATTTGTGAAAGTACATGCTGCTCATGTCAATCTGTTCAGCATCTACATGTATGAGAACAAGGCTAGATAATTAAACTTCCTCCTTTTTCTGAACTGTTTTGATATTTTGTTAGGTTCGGGCATTCGTTTGGTACCTCAGACGCCCCCAGTTTTCTGGTGTAAGCCTAGGTAGATAGGGACCCCTTGAAGTTCTCTATGATGTGGAATAGTAACAAAGAAGATCTGCTTCTGGATGAGTGCACTTTATGCATGTTCAAACAGCTCCTCCACTTAATACAGTGTTATCCAGCATCAATTAGGTGCCAGTTACTGTATGTTTGGTACTGGGTATGAGAAGGGTATTTTGTGATATCAGTTGATGGAATATTCCATTTGGTGAGGTGCCAGATGACGCACTTCATTGTTGTTTCTCAGGGTGTACAATATTTTGATTTAACAGTTGGAATCAGTAACTTCAGCTGAAGATGCAGGTGCTGCAGACTAAATGCTTGGTGTTTCATTGTGTTGCATCAGGGTTGGTTGTGCTTGATTTTGTATGAAGGAATGTGATAGTATTTTTGAAAATAAAATGCTGGATAACTCTGAAATCAGTGATGGTGAGTACGTTTAATTTTTAAATAAACCAGATGATTAATATTACCTTGTCAGCTGTTGCCTTGAAATAAGAAATCTTCAGTGGGCATAAATGTCTAAGTTTGGAATGTTGAACAGAACTGGAATCACTATTTACAGCTGTGTTGCGAGACAATAGCTGTCTACGGAGAAACAATTGCAACTAAATTTGACAACATGTGATGAATCATTAAGAATTGGTGCTAAGTGATTGCACTGTTTGGGTGATGTGCAATTGACTCATTAATAGGACCCAATATTTGATCTCAAATAGTGTGTAATTCTGAGATGAGCCTGGAATTGCATACAGTTCTGTTCGACAATTTAGGAGCAAATTGCTGGAGGGGAGAGAGGACATGGTGATAGAGAATGTAATGGGGAAAGCCAAAAGAAAGGCAAGAGATGGCAGTTGGTTCACGATTTGAAGGTGTTGAACTCTAATATTAAATTCCAGAAGATTGTAAAGTGCCTAGCCTGAAGATGAAATGTTGTTCCTCCAGTTTGTGCTGTGATTCACTGGAGCACTGTAATATGCCAAGAACAGACAAGTGGGCATGTGAGCAGGATGCTGTGTTAAAACGACCGGCTACTGGAGGTCTTCTGCAAAGCAGTCACCCAGTCTGTGTTTGGTTTCTCCAATGTAGAGTAGGCGACATTGGGTGCAATGAATACTACACACAAGATTGGAGGAGGTACAGGTGAAATGCTGCTTCACTTGGGAAGACTATTTGTTTAGACCCTTGGATGGTGAGCAGGTGTTGTACCTTCTGGAGTTACATGGGGAGGTGCTGTGTGAAGAGGGAGTGGTGTTTAGTGGTCGATGAATACCTCGGTGTCCCTGAGGGAATGATCCCTGTGAAATGCAGACCGGGGAGTGAGGGGCAGATGTGTTTGGTGTTCTGGAGTTGTCTGAAATGGCGGAGAATGATTCTTTGAATATGGAGGTTGGTAGGATGAAAAGGGAGGACAAGTCCCGATCACGCAGTTGTGAAAGGTGGCAAGGGCGGAAACATGGATGGTAGGTCCGGTTCAGTTGAGGGCCCTGTCAACCATAATGGGCGGGAAGGCACTGTTATGGAAGAAGCAAGCCATGTCAGCACTGCTGTTTTGGAAGGTGGCATCATCCCAACAGATGCGATGTAGGCGAAAGAACATGGAAACTGGGATGGAATCCTTGCAGGACATTGGGTGTGAAGTGTTGTAGTAAAGGTAACTATGGGAGTTGGTGGCTTTGTAGTGGATGGCAGTGAACAGTTTATTTTCTGAAATGTAGACACAGGGGTCAAAGAAGGGAAGGGAAGTGTTGGAAATGGACAATGTCAAAGTTAAAAAGGCACAGTAAATTGACCCTGTTAAGAATATCATGTGGATTCCATGACTTTGTAAACAAAGTGGATACCACAGGGAAAGGAAGTTTGGTTAGCAATTAAGCCTATGCTGTAGCATTATGTCCATTTCCTTCCCACTTCAGAAAGAATAACAAACCTTATTGGAGGTCCAGTTGAGATTTGCTAGAATGCTGCTAATGATGGATGTTTCAGTTGTTGCGGGGGATGGGTGGAGAAAGAAACTAGAGAAGCTTCAGTTGCTATCTGTAGAACAGCGAAGGTTGAGGAGGATGAAGAATGCTTAGAAAACAAAGGAGTTTTGTGTCTGCTACGCTCTCAACCATGCCCACTTGCTGAGTGGGGGTGTGGTGGTGGGGAAGAGAGTGGTTTGAAGGATCCTGGGATATAACTAGCAAGTAGGTTATCAGGGAAGCTTGTGATTTTATTTTATGTAGTTACAATTTTGAATGCATTGCCTGAAAAGGTGGATGAAACAAGTTCAATAATAATTTTCAAAAAAAAAAATAGTTGGATACATAACTGAAAGTGAGATGCTTGCATGTTGTGGGACAAGGGCAAGTGGATTGGTCTAACAGAACACACTGGACTGTGTGGCAGACCCCTAAGTGTTATTTTAAAATGTGTTTATGTATAATGAAATGAAGCAAAGAAAGCATGAAGTTGCACCAACTGCAATTAATACGTGTAAGTTTTTCAGTTGAAGCATTTGAAATGGCACATGTGAATGTATCACATTATTAATGTGACTCAAATATGAACAGAAGGGTATTGATGTTTAAATTATTTACGTGGGTATCATAGTACAAGTGAATTATACTGCAATTAAGTACTTTTTCACAGCTATTGTTTGCTTTCTGCATAGTTTTTAGAAAATTACATTTCAGTTCCTCTGCAAGAACATCTTAAATAAATGGAGAAAAGTTTGCAATTCTGTTAAAACACTTGAGTATGTTTGCTGGTCAGGTAATGGTGCTTGTGAAAATGTTTGTTTATTTTTGTTAAGGATTTAGAATATAACATCTTAGCTTCATTAGTATTTAGCAAAGCTGTTCAATCTAAATAGAGTGCAACATTTTCTCTGCACAATCAGGTTTTTATGCAGTTTGTTACCTTTTTAACTGTCAGATTAACAACTAAACATCATCTTATCAGTATCTTTGCGTTATTGCTATAGTTAAATTGTAGCTACTGAGTAATAATATTTAACTTCCATTAACAGCAAGGGGATGATATAGTCTTAATGGCAGAAGCTTTGGAAAAGATCTTCCTTCAGAAAATTTCAGAAATGCCACAAGAAGAGATTGAAATACCCATACAACCCACCAAAGGATCACGGGGTAGAGGCAGAAAAGAAGCGGGTAAGTGTCTATCTTGTATTCTTTAATGGCTGATACGTTCAGGCTACCCCATGTCTGTCCTAGCACTGACTGCTGCTTTGCTTGTGCATTTCACAATGATTTAAAAAGGTTACAGATTTCCATTTTGAGCATGTTACATTATTGTTCCACTTGGCAAAGAACCCACTATTAAATTTGAAGATACTTTTGTAGTTTGGATTGTTGTAGCTAATGAATAAAGAAATTTCATCTTGGTTTGATTTACCTGTGACATTGTGAATTGTTCAACCGCTGATAGTTGCATTATATGGCCATTGCTGTTTTTGTTTCCCCCTACTTGTATATCAGTTTCTGTTGTATATTGCCTGATCCAAGTTCTCTTCTAGTGTGGCTCTAAAATATTCTACCACCATATTTTTATGCAGTTTTTAACCTGTATGTTTTAAGTTTTTTTTTAAAAATATATCACCAAGTGTCATCTTTTGGACCTGATGGGATAGCATTGTAAAATCATCTTCTAAATTTAATTTGTGTAAAGTATTCCACTTGGTTATACTGTTGCCATGAACTTTTGGAAGGACAGTAGTTTGACCATTCTGGTGTTTAAGTTTTGTATCTGTGGTCAAAAATTATGCTAGCCTGATGTACGTAGTCACGAGGGCACTTCAAGGATATGCTGAAAGCCAAAAAAAACAGAAGACTGGGATGGTGACCGCTAACGCCTGTGTAGTGCTGTCGAAAGTTACTGTAAATATTCTTAGCACGTAACTCTATCTCAGTTCCTTTTGAATGGCAGTGTAAACAAGTATCACATCGAACCAGAAAAATGCTTATTTTCAGCCTGTTTTTAAAACGTGATGAAAATGGTCTAAATGTTTCTTCAGATTCTTAATATGCACAAATGAAGTATGCTGAATTGCTGCTAATTGCATTTTTGTTTTGTTTGATTTGCAAAACAGCTGCTTAGGAAGTGTTTTATCCCAAATGCTAGCAATAAACCACTAACTAGTGCCCTGAAACTAGCTTTGTAATGTAAACTGAGAATTTCATTATGCTAACATAATTTGCACATTGGCCACAGTGACACAGTATGAGCATACTTTAAGGGCATAGGTGGGATAGCAGAGTAGATTAAGTACATGTAAAATAAACCATTTAATATTGGTCTTGCCAACTCTTGTTCTGTGATCGTTTAATATCTTGTTTTAGATTTGAATTCAGCCATTTTTTTTTCAAATTTGTCTCCAGGGTATATTTACACAGACACTGGCTCCTCCTGGAGATTATTCACTTGCCTGCGTTAGCTTCAAGGAATTGATTTTTCCTTGGTTGTAAATAAATAATAAACTAATCGCATGGATCTGCGGCCGCATATGTATGAGTACACAACTATTCCTTTTGTAATGCCATGTTGGAAGGCTGTCTGATCGTTTGGATTATTCTTACTATGGAATTTTGTAACACTGCACTATAGGACCCTAATGACTTTGTCAAGTGCAGAATGGATGCAGTGTAGGGAATAGTTGGTATTTGTGTTTTGAGAAGTTTCAATTACACACAGGAGTGGTGTTTGTCCTTAACTATTATCAACCTATTACTTTAATCTGGAATTCATTCCCAAATCCCCTCCACCTCCTCAAAAATACTCCACAAAGCATATTGCTTCGACCAAGCTTTTGGCCTTCTCCACTTAACTGGCATGATGCCATAGTTTTCTGGATGTTCCTGTTGAACATCTTTGGAAGTTTTTTTATGTTAAATCTGTATAAATACAAGTTGTTGCTGCTCTGGACTTAGATTGTGTATCTACAGGAAATTACAGACAACAGAAAACAATCCACCTCTGATTTAGTTTGGAGATGTAACATGGTGATTTTTTTTTGAATGAGGCAGGTACTTGGCTAAGAATAAAGAGACTGTCCGTCTGTCTACTTTTCAGTGCTTGAATTGGTAGGCAGCTAAGTTGATTGAATACAGTAGAATAACCTCTGCCATTTTCCCAAATCTCTGCCACTTGGAGGACTTGAAAGTAACGTAATGCAGGAAGACTATCAATTCATTTTAACTTACTTGAATCAGAAATTCTATATTTCAAACAAACAGCAGGATCTTACGTGAAGGCAATCCATTCTCACCTTAAATAGAGTATTGTAAATATGTCCTATGAATTAAGGATGCCATTTATCAAAAGAAACAGGTAGTTTCATTTATGAACTGTGTGCCTGTAGTGCTTTATTTGAGGAGATCTTAGACTTTTAAAATTCTGTACTTTTGGTTTTCTGTAAGTAAATTGGCAGTGGATGAAATTCCTAAAATAATTTGCTGGCTAGATCACTGAGAATTTGCAAACATATTCCCTTTGCGAGGCTGTCATGCAGGACCACCTCTCTGATAGCAATACTGTGGTATCATATTACTACTATAGCTAACCTACCACTACTGATGTCACTACTAGTGGAAAGAATTGTTAGTGCTGCAGAATTTCCAAGCATCAAAATGATTACTGTCATAATATATTGATGATGTTCATTAAACTCAAACAGCTCTTGAGGGATTATGAGAAAAAGGATCAATTATGAGTAGATTTCCAAATTAAAATTGACTAACGCAAATGTTCATAATATACTAACTGCTTTAACTTACCATTTGGGTGTTTGGTATTTACGTATAAATCAGTAAGAAGCCATCTAAATAGATGGAGCCTTATTGATTAGTGTGTATTTTTTCCCTAGATTTATTTTTCTCTCTGGAAGATTCCATATGTTTTCTTTTCAACAAAAGTTGACAGCATGCCAGACAATCATTTGTAGAATGTTTCCCATGCCAGTGTTCTCCCAGGAAGTCAAAAGCAACCAAGGGACCACCATCATATTGAAGGACAATATTTTACAAGTGTATATACACCACCTTTCACATCCTTAGATATTGAAACTCATTAAAATGCCAGCGTGTAATTATCCTCATCATTGTAAGAGCAGCAGCTGTGTTGTACATAGCAAGATACCACATAGAGCATTGTTGCTAATTAATCTACATTGAGAACTGAATGTTAGCTTATGCTTTTAGAGCATAATTTACTCTGCATAACTTTTCCATGACTTGTTCCTTTCTGGAATTTAATACTTGATGTAGTACATCTGTGAACCATTTCTTCCTTTAGTATCCTATCAAGTGGATTTTAGCTTTTCGGAAAGTGTCATCAGTTCTTATTACTTATCTATCTCCCATTATTGAGATTGGCATGTATGGTGGGAGAAGTATTGAGGTGCCTTGTTCTTAAAAGGTTACTTTTAAAACAAATTGCCTACGGTTTCCTGCTGAATAATGACTTATTTAAACAGTAAGTGGTGTATGATAGCTGTGAATGGCTGATCTTCGTTATGTGGCAACCTATTTCAAGATTTCATTGGAGTTTAGAATCAGTCTGTTCTAAATATTTAATTGTTATTTTGTTTTCATTTAGTTCAGTCTAAACCCAACATGTCAACTGTACAGACTGTCACACAGACAACAGTGCCAGCATTGGCACCAACACAGCCACAGCAGCAACCACCCCAACGGGCACCTCAGGCATCGCAGCCACCACCACCACAGCCACAACTTCCTTCTGTATCGGTGCCAGCACCCACACCCCAGTCATTTCCTCCAGCGACTCCTGATTTGATAGTACAGCCACCAACAACGACTGTGTCGCCGCATACATCAGCTCCTCCAATGCCAACCCTCACGCCAACAACAGTAATGACAACAGCGTCACAGCCTTCAAAGGTAGACAATCTTTCAGTAGCTTTTCAACTAGTTTTGACCTCTGTTCTTCCGTTCTTTTAGACTTGAATCATCTGAATCTCAACATAGAGAATTTGATACAGCAAAGTCCTGAATGTTTTATAAAGTATACTTGTGTACTTTTTCAGTGGATAAACAGCATACTCTGAACTTTGCGAAGGATTTTTCTAGTATTCCCTGTAACTTATTTGCATATGAATTAATTAGTTGTAACTCATTCTCCAGACTGGGTACTGGGAGAACAGTTGAGTGAGATGATGCAACAAAAGTGAGACCCCAGAGGAAATGCAGACGGAAGTCCTTGGTGTCGATGTGTATTGTAGATTAATTCTAAACAAGTTTCCCAAAGTGGGGAATTGTCCAAAGGCATACCACTTCCTTCTGTTGTATCTGACCAAACAGTGCAGTATTTAAAGGAGTTGATGAAAACTGTCAACTTCCAAGACGGACCTTGTCTGAAGTTGCATGCCACCAGCTGTGCTTGTGGTTTTCGTCTGCTTGTGGCAGCGTTGTGCTTTAACGGTGAATAAAAATTGACTCATCACCCTTTCCATGAAGCAGTCAAGACTTGAACTTCAAGTTTTGTGGTGCTAAATGAATACTTTTGAAGTAGACTGTGTCTGTGTCTGTCTGGTTTTAATCAGTTGTAGGATAAATTTTATATGAATCTCTTCTCACTCGTGGCATCGCTGCCTCTCCACCACGCAAAATAAAGGCGAAAAGCAGCACTGTTTGGCTAATACTGCTGAGTTGAATTGTATGATTAGAGCTTCATGTGTACATTTTTCTTTTACAGCATAAAAAGGGAGTCAAAAGGAAAGCTGATACTACAACACCAACAACCAATGTTGCTGTGAAGAGTAGAGAGTCTTCGCCATTGGTGACTGAGCCCAAACCAGCAAAGATCCCATCCAGAAGTGGCAGACCTCCAAAACCTGTCAAGAAAGAAATGCCAGATTCTCAGCAGCAACACCTAGAAAAGGGTGCCGGTGGTGGGATTGGTAGTAGTGGTGGTGGAGTTGTTGTTGGCAGTGGAAAAGTTTCCGAACAGTTGAAGTACTGCACTGGCATTCTAAAAGAAATGTTCGCCAAGAAGCATGCAGCCTATGCCTGGCCCTTCTACAAACCTGTGGATGTGGAAGCCCTGGGACTGCATGATTATCACGACATTATTAAGCACCCCATGGATCTCAGTACTATTAAAGTAAGCCAATACCTACAGTCTTGCTGAAACTTGAGAGTTTGGATTATGTCGCAGCATTGAATCTGTTCTGTTTTGATTATTTTGTACGTGAGAAATAACCTGAGCAACATCTTTTATATTATCTATCTCAACATTGTACAAGTGCAGTCCCAAACAAAGATAATTGAATCATTTATGTTTGCATGGGGTGATGCCTTAATGTATTATAATACACTGGTCATAGAATTCATGCGTGTAGTCTGTAGAAAGACCAATTTGGACCCATAAGTGTTTAAGTTTGTGTTGCATTTTGAAGTTGAACTCAGCCTGAGCTTGTGTTCACATTATTAAAAGAATGCTGTGAATGACTTTTCTTGGTCTTTTATATTGGTCAACAAAAGTTTAAATACAAATAGATTATTATTTGAATAATCATAATCTGACCTTTCAAAAAAAATTAAGACTTTATGCTGAATCGGCAGTGTGTTATTCTTTTAAGGAAAATATTTTGACTAAAATATTTAAAAAAAAAAGTTGTTTGGAGCTGCTCAACTTTATACTAAATTCAGAAATGAGACCGTATAAAGCTGCAGAACTGCAAACTACCTCAAGTGAAGAGTTTCATTGTTTAATGGGAAAAATAACCAAGGTAGCCCTATTCACCTGTGCTTGTGATAACATAATTAATCAGGCCTTAGTTAAATTAATAACAACATTTTCAGAAAATTATTTATCCTGTATAAAAATGCCTTGTCATATACTCCAAACCCCTGTTGACTATGAAATTCATCTAAAGCTCAACTCAGTAGATATTAAATTTGTATTTCAATTTGTCCATTAATCAAATTGGTCAGTAACAAGGAGATTAGCTTTTGGTTTCCCATCCTAATTAATTTCTTAAAGAAAACAAGAACACCTTTCCCTTCGCTACATCAGTGCTTATAAAAACAATTATTTCGAATGCTGTGGTTAATTATGATCTTTATTTCACTGTCAGCCTGATTTGTGAAGCAGCAAATTAATTTTTAATGTAAATTTTTATTTAATCTTTTCTGATCAACCTGATCAAAGATGTTATTACATGCAAGAGGGACTTAAACCAGGTGTCCTGGTCCAAGGGTAGGGGCATAGAGCCACTAAGCAACAATTGATGATGTATGAAGTTGATGAGCTGCATCTGACAATATTTTGTGGGCTTGACCATCCTAGAATGATAACCAGGATCTAGCTTCAGACCTGATTGCAAATCAGTGATTTATTCTGCTCCCCCTATTGCAGTGACTTACCCCTCCCTTTGAAAAATGACAGGCCTCTAATCTAATCTGTAAACGTGTATAAAGACACCAAAAGCTTTAATGTTACAAAGCAAACTTCGTTAAATCAACCCTTAGGAATTCAAAGAAATGCAACTGTGTAGGTTACTCCAAGTTTGCTTGGCAAAATCCCACTTTTGCAAACTTGTAGCCAGTGTGTGTTATTTACAGTTGTTAGATGAAAGTATTGTTGCACTTCCTCCTTACTAAAGAGCTTAGACATTGTTTTACATAGCTTGTTTGAGGTTGAGGCATTGCATTGCCAGCAGATTGATATTTAAACCTAACACAGATTTCCCTTTGTCAAGTCTGTTTATGTGCAAGTATTTTGGTGATTTGGATAAGCTGAGTAAGTGGGCAAGTGCTTGGCAGACTTAGTATAACGTGGATAACTTCAGAGCAGAAACAGGCAGATTATTGTCAGGCTATAAACTGAGGGGTAGGGGTGGGAAATGTGCATTGTGACTTGGGTATCCTCATATGCCTGTCAAGGAGGCAAATAATATGTTGGCCTTTATAGAACAGGGATTTCTTGCTGCTATTACACAGGACCTTGGTGAGACCACACCTGGAATATTGTGCAGTTTTGATTTCCTCGTGAGGAAGGATGCTGTTGCTAACAAGGATGCACTGAAGGTTTACAGACCTGATTCCTGAGATGGCAGGACTGACATGAGAGGTTGAATTAGTTAGAATTATGTTCACTAGAGCTTAAAAGGATGGAAGGGCACCTCCTAGAAACCTATAAAATTCTAACAGGGCTAGAAAAGGTAGATGCAGGAAGGATGTTCTCGATGACTGGAGAATCCAGAATCAGCAGTTACAGGCTAAATTCATTCATAATGAAATGGGAACTATCTTTACCCAGAGAGTGGTGAACCAGTGGAATTTGCTACCACAGAAAGCAATTCAGTCCAAAACATTGTATGATTTCAAGAAGGAGTTTGGATATAGTACTTGTGCCCAAAGGGATCAAAGGATATGGTGGAAAAGCAATAATGGGCTACTGAGTTGGATGATCAGCCATGATTATAATGAATGGCAGAGGCAGGTGTAAAGGGCCGTATGGCCTATTCCTGTCCTATTTTGTTTCTTTTGGAGCTTTGCACTTGAGTACCAATGCATGGGTAAATTGAGTAAAGGGCACTAGTTTAATTTATGCTCCATTGGTTGAATTTATTTTGTGCTCCTTATTCTTCAGATTGTCAAATATTTGTGCTGTTAGTGTGAATTGCTAGGTTGAATTTGAGTGTCTTCCCTCTGACAACTGGGGGAGACGGTGATGTAACTAATTTTTTATGAAATGGCTAATTTTTAGGTTTAAAAGCTGGAAGCCCAATGCTATCTGGAATAAAAGTGTATAGACTGGTAAGTTAAAGAACTGGAAATCAATTAAAATCAGGGAATATGAGCAAAATTAAGAAAAGCCTGAAAATTGCATTTAATTTCAGTGACTTGCTGGGTGTTCAGCAGAAGGGCAAAATTTGAGTTCATTTTCATGTAAGAATTATGGTGGTTTTAAAGCATTAGTATTACCTTTGCAAAAAAGGATGCTGCTCATCTCACTAAAAGGAGAGAATAGTAGTCAAATTGTCTGAAGTAGAAGTAGATAACTCCAAGGCAGTTAAAATGTTTATTATTGACAACCAATAAGGATTTATGGTTGGCAAATCTTATTTGATTACTTTGACATTTTTTGAAGTATGGAGAGTGGATAAAAGCAATTTTTAAAAACATTTCAAAACTTCCAAAGGGTTTGATAAGGCGCCGAATAACATAGTAAAATAAATGCCTATGGTATTAAGGGGGCAATGGCTGCAATAGTACAAAATTCACCAGGATCACTTGGATAATGAGCGGTTGTTTCACTGACTAATACTATGTAAGGGTGTTTCCTGCGAACAGTATTAAGAATACTGTTCTTCAAGATATGACCTGGATTTGAACATTTGTGGCATAACTTATAAAATACACTTTTCAAAAAAAAGCAAGGAAGATAGATTTCAGGATGGGAATAGACTTGTGAAATAGATTGTGGTGGAGAAAATTAAAGTCTGGACTAATGTATTTTGGGAGGAAGGGCAGACAGTGTTATACGGAGTTATAACTAAATATGGCGGGAGAATAGAGAAACATGGGTTTACATGCTGAAAATTTTGAAGACAGAACAAATGTTTAAAAACATGATTATAGAATCCATAACTTTATAAATGGCATTTGAAAACAACAATATTGTGCTAAACGTTTAGATCTTGAATAGGCTTCACTTGTGTTGGCCGGTCCTATAAAACTCGCTTTAGGATAGATGCACGTTTTTGGAGGATGCATTGGAAATTTACTGGCAGGAGGGAATTTATGTGGTGAGGCAAGAGAATTTGGGGTTAATTCTTGAAGCTCAGATGGGACTGGGATGGTTTGATTGACAATCAAAACCATTCATGATTTTGAACCTCTTTGTTTTTAGTTCAAACCCAGAATTGTGAAATGAGGCCAATTGGATAGTTCCTTCAAGCATTTGGGGCTAAAGTGGATTCCAATCAACATCATAGCCTCAGAACTACCTATGATCATAACCAACAATTTATGTTCTTTAAATTCAATTACAGTAAATAATCACTTAAGTTGAAATGTATGCCAACAAAACTTTTGATCAGAGCACCTTAAATTCTTCCATAAAACCAATGTCCACTTGACGCAGGATAGATACACTCATCCTGTTGTTTTCCTTCTCATGGAAGTACGGTGTTAACTCATTTTTGAGACATGTTTTAACAGCCATGAAAGCAGTGGAGATGATATGATTGATAAATTCATGGGGAAATATACACTTAGACTACTGCACTGTTAGGGAAACAAAGTAAGGTTGAGGACAATTAGAATAATTGGGCTTCTGATTTGCGCTAACTGGGAAAGATTGACTTTAGATGAGTTTTACTTGATTTTGTGGCCTGTATTGCATTGTGTAATTCCATGTGCTAATAATCAAAGACCACTTATTCTGTTGACTGACTACACCTCAATTTTTAATGTAGAACTTATACTAGTAAATCTTGGTGAGCAATTTCATATTTGTAACCTCAAACAAAAAATGCTATATTGGTATCCAGTATCGAGCTTAAAGCAAATATTCATTGAACCGTATGATTGTGAAACTAAAATCTAATTTTAGGCTCTTCTGTTTCTATGATGGTAGCTTTTGAAGTTATAAATGTTCAATAGTTGGCTCAGTCCTCCAGAGATTGCGTAGGTTTGGAGTTAATTTTTGCTTATTCACTTCTTCCATTTACTCCTGATTATGCAATCCTTTCCATAGCTGGAGCAGCTATCCTTGGATTTATTAGGTGCTTTTGTCTAAGCCTTTAAGATGTATGCTTCTTTTAAAAAGTTCTTGTTAATATTGTAATTACTTGTTGAATATTTGTGGTCTTGAAGAAATTTTCTTTTTTAAAAAGAAACGTGATCAAGGTTGTCGGATTGTGGCAACTGGATAAATGCCATATTTCTACTGGGACTATCACCATGAGCTAGTTGAAGTTTCATTATCAAAAACAGCCATAGAAACGACTGTTGTGAATATTCACAACATTTAATGAGGAAATGAAGCATTACTGTATAAAAGAAAATCCAATTTTCTGATTTCTTGATAGTATTTGCCTAGAATTATTGTCAAACATTGAACAATGCAGGCCAAGTGATTGCTAATTGTTA